TGTCATTCTAATATACTGATTTGCTGCTCAAGAATCATTTATTATCAATGTTAAAAACAGTGCTGCTTAATATTTTTGTGATTCTTAGAATAAAAAGTTTAAAATAACCTTTTGTACATTTTTTGTAACATAATATCTTTATTGCCACTTTTGATGCATCCTTTCTAAATAAAGATATTAATTTCTTTAAAAAAAGAAGAGTTCCAACCCCAAACTAGGTAAGATGTTGTGATGTCATTAAACTTATATTGAATTATGACAATAGTTGGAAATTGAAAAAAAAAAAAAAAATTATTATTTAAAAATATTTAGAAAAAGGTGCATTTAAAAATATACACTTTCACATTCATTGAAATTTTAACCTAAAATCTTAAACATGTTATTGTCAGCTACCCATCATTCTCTCTCTGTCCCTCTGACGCATCTCTTCTTTCTTGTCTCTTTCCTTCTCCCTCTCTCTCTCGTCTCCCTTGTGTTCCTCTTTCTCTCCCTGGCAGTGGTTCCCATCCTCTCACCCATAAAATCAGCATAAAATTGACCTGACTCTGCCAGATCAGATGGAGGAGTTGGGCTTCAGATCCCTGGGGAGAAGGAAATTCAGTCTTTGTAAAAATATTATAAGACAAGGTCCGTGAAATCTCACAATGGGATTATGTAATGCACCTTTGTCAGTCTTTTCACACACCCCCCCCCCCCCCCATTCCCTTTCCTCTCTGAACTCTGGTCAGCACCGGTGGAGAATATGCGGGCATATTTACCTTTGCAGAGAGAAGTGAAACCACTATGGTGGATTCGTCCAGAGGGGTGGAGATAGAAAAAAGAAGGGGTTCGGCTATGAAAAATGGAGAGATCCATTCGATAAAGCAGGTTTGAAGTTGGGTTCATGGCCGACATGCTAAATCATCACAGTGTTCATTCTGCTAGATGCTTCATCTGACATCACTTCCAGCACACCAGATCTGAATTATCAGCACTGTTGCTGTGGATTAGATCAGAATGAAGAAGCAAGAGTTTCGGTTCAAATATGATGGGAAGTTCAGATTGTTACTCTCTAAATTGATGCTGACAAGAAAGAGGAAACGGCTAACGTGCAAATACTCCATATTTAACTTGACTCATTGATGTAATTTATTATGTGATTGTGTTTTAGCTGCCGTTTGTCTAAAAACCTACACTATTAGGGTGTTGTAATGCTGTTGATAAGGTGTTCTAGTTGGTTGCTTGGTGGTTTCGCGGTTTTTTATCATTATTATCATGCTTTGTAGTTTTGCTTTTAACATACTTTTACTTTCAGGGTGTGGTCACACTTGTAATTCGGTTCGCTTGCTTCTTTTACCGGCCCTATAGATACAAAACAGGGTTTTCCCTGGCTCAAAACGAGGTGGAGGTGGTAAAATCCTGATCATGGCTGAAGAAAACACTTTTTACAAGCACATATATTAGGTGTTTTACTAATAAGGTAATTATTATTATTATTATATACATTTTACAGATAAATGTATTAATCTGGTGTACTTTGAGAGTTCAAAATTAAGAGCTCCAACCCATGTTCAGTGTGCAAATTGAACAAAGAAAAAGTCTGTGCATTGACTTGTACCTGAACTTTAAAGGGGGCTTTAGGGCTTGTGCGCTAGAGATGTGCGGATCAGCTGTCACCTGAATTTGCTGTTAAGAATAAATCATCCACCCGACAACTGCTCAAACCTATGATATTCTCTGATTTAGATATCTGGACCTGATCATCACATTACAATTATTCAAATTGTCAGTGTTAAGCATGATGATATGGTAACTTATCACACTGAAGTAGGCTGCTTTTAAATGAACATTTATTTAAAAGAAAATTTCTTCTTTGGCAAAATTACATTTCTTTAATAGCCTAAACACAGGCTTTACTCCTTTCAAACTTAAATTATCACTGTTTCATTACATCATTGTTGGAAACACTCTTATTAAGCTTGTGTGTATCTTTAGTTAAAGCTGTTAAGTTATAAAGCAATCTCATGTAGGGTTTTTCCTTTGTGTTTTATATAATGACCACTAGAAGGTTCTCTAGGCATGGTTTCCTTGATTGCTTTTCCCTGAAGAGAAATACATTCGTTGAGATTTACCGTGAAATTCCGAGTTCCGAGTCTCTTAATGATTTATATCTCATCGACCCGTGACCCACCTGCAATTTATTTGTAATTTTCTTTATCACTTGGCCCGTCTGAGCCGCTGATTATCTTCAGCATCTGCGGATATAACCGCGATCCGCGCATCACAATCGAACACTTAGAGAATGGACACAGGCCGGGAATCCACAACAGAACTGTGTCGGTGGAAAAGGGGTATCGGAGCATGTGACTGTAGTCAATAGTTTCGTCGACAGCTGGAGGCGGCACGAAATTTGTGTGCTGGACTAAATGCGCTTGTTGTATATGCACACACAGTGTTTCCTCTAGGATTTTTTCCAGCCGTGGTGGCAGGGCCATTTCGCCAGGGGGAGGGGGCGTGGCCCATGAGTGATATTCCCATTGGCCACGCCCCCTTATCCCAGGTGTTCAAACCTCCCCTAAGCATTATAACATGAAAGGCGCCAATAAGCACCCCTATGTTAAATTCCCATAGAGGCAGGCAGATTTTCATTTTTAAAGGCCAGTTATTTCATGGATCCAGGATACTATGCATCCTGATGAAGTTCCCTTAGCCTTTGGAACTAAAATAGCCCCACATCATCACACACCCTTCACCAAACCTAGAGATTGGCACGGTTGTATTTCAGTTAGCCTAATAGCTGGTTTGATTTTCATTGAGAGATGATCTTATGGAAAGTACCCCATCTCTAGGTGTGGTAAGTGTGAACTTTCTTAGCTCTGACTTAGTCTGCTTAGTCCAAAGGTCACAACAGCGAAGTTTTGGTGAAATTTGCGACAAAAGGTCCGTTGTCTATTGCCAATATAGTGTAGTGAGCCATGAAGCACTGTTCACACAGAAGTCACTTTCAAACCAAGTAGCTTTCTGCTGGTCAAAGCAATGAATTCATGTGAGCAACTTTAACACAAGTACTGTTCTGCTGTTATCTCGGGACGCTTGTCCCGAGAAAAATGGCGTTCGTAGGCTCCAGTTTGGTATCCTGCCTCTCACGGGGATTTCGGATGCCTCAACGCCTGTGATGAGAAGACCAACGCCTGTGAAGAGACGACTCAACGCCTGCGAAGAGACGACTCAACGCCGGCGATATGTTATCCCCTAAATATTACATGATTAACTAAATGTATTTTTTCCAGGTACTCTCTGATATGCACTTACTGTAAAGCTTCTTTAAAACCCTATGATTGTTAGCCAGAGGAGAACTGGCCCCTGACTAGCCTGGGTTCTCCCAAGGTTTTTTTCTCCATCCAATCTGATGGAGTTTTGGTTCCTTGCCACTGTCGCCTTGCTTTTGGCTTGCTTAGTTGGGGATATTTAATATTCAACAATATTATTGAACTGTGTTGTACTACTTTCATGTTATCACTGTGAAGCTGCTTTGATGCAATCTGTATTGTGAAAAGCGCTATATAAATAAATGTGACTTGACTTGACAAGTGAAATCTGTCTCACCCTCACACAAAATTCCCAATTGTGCAGATTCCTATTGAAAGACTGGATTTCTCCCATTAAATTTATTATGCAAACAAACCTTTAGTTCTGTGTCATGGTTGTAGAAGTTCTGTGTGATAATCTGTTCTCTTCTGAGAACATATTTATCTTTTATCAGACTGGATATTTGAACTTCCTGTAAGTTAACAAACCGGTGTTTGATGCAAGGTCAGTCATACTCTGAATACTACCTTAGATGAAGAGGTGTAGCTGTTTGCATATGAAACAAGTCCAGTTATTTCAATAGGAATCCACAAAATCTGGAATTTCGCATATGGTTTAAGGTAGGTTCAAGTAGGTCACAGATTCGCCGTGTGGACCAACAGCTTGATTTGAAATGGTCTTCTGTGTGCTGGGCTTCATGCATCACTACACTATTGACAATAGACATTGGACTTTTTTGTCTGCAATATCGAATTGCGCCAAATAAATTCTCAGCCCTAGTCATAATATGGAGGTTGTAGATCAGACGTACCTTGCACACGCTGTGTGTGTGTGTGTGTGCACCAAACTCATTGTTTCAGGGTTCTCACACTGACCTTCAGCAGACATTGAGTTGTTGTTTTGTGGTCCAAGCTGATCTCTTTAGAGTGACTCATAGCAGAGGCGTCTGGAGTGCTGCCTTATTATGTGTCACAAGGCGTTTCCAAGTCTGCACACACTTATTTATGTCAGATTATGGCATTTCACCACAAATCTAAAATAATATTAATATGTGTTAAAATTGTTTTAAAACTGCTTTAATAGTTAATAGTACTGAGTTAATATATTAAGTTATTAACTTCCAAAACATTGGTTAGCAGCAGCACACATGCTCTTACACATTGCTAATAATAATAATAATTAATAAAAATGTACTTAAAACATAAAATTATATATCATTTTTTACATTTATTTTTAGATTAGATATTTTTATTTGTTTTATATATTATAATAATAATAATAATTATTATTACTATTATTATTAATGTATTCGTATTTGATATTTCTTGAGGGACGGAGTTGTCCACCCCTGGCCTATGACATATAATATTTATAATAAAAATAAATAATAAATTTATTCATATTTTGAATGTGAACATTATATTTTTAAACGGCTGCTTTCCTTTAACAAATTTAGGTGTGAAATATTAATGCAGCGCCACACATCTGCTGTTTCTGCAGGTAGTGGAGTATTGTCTCTGTGTCTATGTTTCTAAAGGCCTCTATCTAACCGGATGGCATTTGCATATGCAGAACGTTCCATGCCTCTGCTCGTTGCCGCGGTGTGCCGACACATAGGAGAAACCACCCTTGCCCCCACCCCCTTCATTAATATGTATGTGTTCTGAACGGTGCGTGGTTGCTGATTAATGCTGTCTGTCAATTTCTTACAGATCCGACAGTGCTGTGGAAGTTCCCTCAGGACTTTGGAGACCAGGTTGGAGACAGAGGAACTTTTTTTTTTCTATTCGTACCCCCACCTCCCCACCCCTCCACCTACCCCACCAGCACCACATCCACGACCCCTCCTGCTCCTAAAGGCTTACCTCCCTCCCTCCTCTCTTCCTTCCTCTCTCTCTCTCTCTCTCTCTCTCTCTCTCTCTCTCTCTCTCTCTCTCTCTCTCATGTGATGTGATGTTGCTGATAATGAAAAGCGGTGAGCAGGTCTTCAATAAGCGTTGTTCTGGTAATTATCAGCTGGTTGTGATGTGAATGAGTGCGGATGGAGCTTCTTCGTACGCCCACCGCTGTATCTCACACCACTACAGCTGTGTGTCACTCATGGGTTGGTACTATATCACACTAGTAATGCATAAAAAGCATGTAACAAGAGTAGTAATAGACTGAAATATCTGCTTAATCAGCTGATATTTGGCTATTTTGTAATTATCACATCACATACTACCTAGTGTCAGTTCCAAAATATGTTATGTTTTATGTTATATTTTGTAATGTTTTATCTTATGTTTTGTTTTAATGTTTTATGTTTTATGTTATGGTTTTTTATGTTATGTTTTTTTATCTTATGTTATGTTTTGTTTTGTTTTTTTGTTTTGTTTTATGTTGTTTTATGTTTTGTTTTGCTATGTTGTGTTTTTAAATATTCATTTTTAAATAATATTTATATTTTTAGATAAATACTGTTGTAGATAGTTGGATTTTTAAAATATATATTTTTTATTTAAACATATTTAAATATAAAATAATTCATTTAAAAATTTTTTTTTACATATTTTAAAATATTCATTTTTAAAACATGCAAGTATTGAATGTTATACTTTAAATATATCTTATTTGCTATTTATATATATGTGTGTGTGTGTATATATATGTGTGTGTGTTTTAAATATGAATGTTTATATATATATATATATATATATATATATATATATATAATAAAAAAACATTAATATTTAAAAATGTACATTTTAAATATTATGTACAATTATATGTATATTTTAAATAAACATTTAAATTTGGAATCATATATCTGCATTACATTAGTGATGCTGCTCTTTTTAACATCCAATGATATTGGCATTGGATGTTAAAAACTCGTATCAGTTGAGCACTGAGTTAAAAATCTTTCACATTTATCATTTTATTGCTCTCTTAATAATTAAACTTTCAAATAGGCATTGCAGAACTTCTAAAACTATGATCAGTAAAAGAAGAATTGCAATAGTGTTGTTGCTTCAGTGTAGTTGAGGTCATATGTGTTCTCTGCACAAGCAGAAGTGGGTCTGGGTCTGGGCCATAGTGCAACGTTGTGGTTTTCACACTTTATTTCTGCTCACTCGGCCTCAAGGTCTCCATGTACAAGCCTCTCCTCTCAGGCAAAGCAAGTTGGACGGTTCATTATGAACTACAATGAGAATGAAAGAAAGGAGACATGAGCATCTTTGGCTTTCGTGTGCACTTTGGTCTTTATCATCTTTTGCTGAGATGCTTCAGAAACTGTTTGCCTGGCCTGCAAGAAGCGTAATTTAAATGTCGGCGAATAAAAAGACTATAAGAAAACTTAAACGCGATAACATAAAGTCCTCCAGAAAAGTCTCCGCTCAACTTGTTTGGTGACCAGATCGTTTCTAGTTTAAGATGTGTACAGATGGATCGGCCTTTTCCACATTGACATAAAGGCTCTCATTGAGTCGCCTCATTACCAGGATTAGGCTCTTTTCGCGTCTTTGTACGGCTGCTCCCTCTCTATCCGCTGAAATCCCTTTTTTCCCCCAAGTTAGCCAGCATATGGCAGCAGCAGCTCCGATCTCTACAGGCCTCCTTTGTTTATCCTCTTATTGTTGCGGCGCGTAATGACAGTTGTAGGCCGTAGATCGGGGTGGAGGGGTTACTTTACCCCAGGGGAGCGAGAGAGAGAGGGCGAGGGAAGAGACGGAGACAGACAGGACTGGATTATGGAAATATGAATTGATTTTTTATCCTCCTCTCTTCCACTACCCGCTCTGCTCGAATAGGGACTCTAAATGAGGGGCGAACAGACTGGAAGCTGGCACAGAGGGCGGCGAAATATGAAGTGCGATCCCTCGGCCCCAGAGACTCGCCGTGGCCGCGGTCACCTACAGCTGCCATGTGGAGCAGCTAGAGAGCCGTATATATCTGAATCGCAAGAAGGCCATTTTTTTGCAAATGAAGCAGACAGATGGAAAAGCGAGACTTTATTGCCACTGTCTCTCTCAGATCTCTTTCCGGGTGTCAGTTTAAAGGGAAAAATAAAAGAAATTAAACAGATATGCATATGCGGGTTATTATTTCTGCGCTTGCCATAGAAACTGACATTATTTGAAGTTATTTGAAAGGATTTGCAACGAAAAGCCTCATGTTTTCATTGATGACGGGTTAAGGAGCACCAGCTCGTAAATATCTGGAGAGATTAGCTGTTCTCCTCTTTTGCTGTTGCGTGCAGTAAATGTGTCACAGTGCCTTGAGCCCTAAAGCACCGTCTTATCTTTGTGGTCTATGTATAATCTCAATAGGAAGTTTCATCTGTAATTTATATAGTAATCACAAGAAATCTCTTTTCTTGGTGTTTTTATAGCACAGTGCAGCATATTTTAATGGTTTTTTTTTACTAACAGGTGCAGTTATGGTTATTAGCAGGCCCACACGGAATCTGTGACCACAGAAAGCTTGAAAGATTTGCACAGTATTTGTGTCTTTTATATATTTAGACTAATATGAGAGTGATTTACTGTCCAACCTGTGCCAGTCCTGTTCCCCCTCCACTCCATGTACTTTGATGTGAGTTCTGCACCATACTATTAAAAGGCAAAAGCTAATAAAAAAATTAAAAAAATTAAATTAGTGATATAATAAGTGTTTTATACATTATTATTTTATTATTAGGAAATATTTTTAAATAAATAAATAAAAACAATGATGTGAAAACATTATAATATTAATATAAATATTTATACTATATTATTATTTACGGTGGGTAAACGGACTCGGACAGTATCAATACATTATTATTATATGTATAGTTTTTGCTCTGAAATCTGATTGGATGAGCCATTTTCGAAACCATTGCAAAATAGCCAATTTACACAAACCTGTGGCTGTTTCAATCAATCGAATTCTGTGTTAATATTTCAACTGAAACAATTAAATGAATAGAATTGTTAAATATTTGTATATTTCATATCGCCGTTTTATAAAAACAGTAAGCCATTAGAAGTCGTGTTAAACGAGACTCAGGGTTAAGCAAGGCCTGCTATCCTGCATTTAGGAGATAATCATATTGTTTATCTATCTCAAATGTAACCTTTAACCTTGACCTTATCATGCACATCCTTGAGATTTACACGTTTCTCCAGCATTGCTTTGTATCCCAAAGGGAATAGCGCAGCGCTAACATCACATTCCAAGCCACCAGCGGAGTGTGTTTGACCTGATGGATGTTGGAGAGTTTCACCGGAGCCTCCAGATGTCACCCGGCCCTCCATCTCCTTAGTTAGGCGGTAAACCGGCATGCTGAGTGAAGCTACAGCTCATGTAACAAAGCGAGAAACTGCGTCCCCGGAGCCTCGCGGGGCAAATATTTGTCTAGCTTTGACACAGTGTACAATCATATGCCCCAAGCCTGACACTTCATGATTGGTAGCCTTTCCCCCCGCTTCACCCCCTCCTCTGCAGGACACGCACCAGCAGCCTGGGGGGAAGGCCAGCCAGCGGAGCATCATCAAGGAGCACGAAGAGCGTCGGTGTGGTTTCAACGCTTTAACATGGAGGGCATGTGCGAGATGAGCCGTGATTGAGAAGAACATCGTCTGCCGGAGCTGGAGGAATGGAAAGGGGGGGCCATTCCTTTCTTTTGGGGTATCCCTTACTCGTCTCATTTGGGAGATTTTTCCTCAGTTCAGATCTCCAGAGAGTGGGTAATGTGAAGGCCGGGCCCAGTTAGCTGGCCTTTGCATCAGGCTAGTCGAAACATCCTCACTGAGGCCACGCTGTTGCCCGTGGCGTCTGATTACCCTGACCTTAGGGCTTTGAGAATGGAAAAAAGCGTTCTCCTCATGGTTTTATCTGTTAGCAGTGCCAGAAACGCTGGAGGGTGCTTGTAGGAAACGGTCTTCATTACATCGGATGTCTCAGACGTTGACTTATTCATCAAGAAAGTGACATCTTGCAAAAAAAAAAAAAAAAGGGATATTTTCAACTCTGGTCTCACGTCCTCTTTGAATGTGGAACGGGATGATTGGCCATTCGTCGGTTTTACTTCCCTTCGCAGCCACAGTTTCAGTCCACGTAGTGAACTGAAATTAAGAACTGCACGATGAACTTCCATTTTAAATGTTATCTTTAAGTATTCTAGCTCTCTCAAACCTCTTGAGATTTGCATAGTGCGACAAATCTCAATCGAGGAAGGAAACACTTGTCGTTGGCCCAAAGTGCAGGATGTCCTGGTTTGGTGGAGGAAGAGATAGACGGAGAGAGAGAGAGAGCATGAGGGGGTGGTGGTTGCGTTTCTCGGAGACTCCACACGCTTGATGTAGCTTCTAGCCACAGCTGAGAGAAAGAGAGAGAGAGCGAGTGTGAGTGAGCGAGCGATCGCGTGGTCCAATGGGAGTTGACAGCTTAAACGCAGAAAATCCCCCAGGCCACTTGGCACTCAATTAATGATGTTTCTGGCTCTGCGGTTCTCGGGCATATGTAGCTGCATCTCAGCTTGGCCCAGTAGAATATCAGTTGTGTATTCTTAAGAACAAAAAACGCTTACCCGTCACATTAATATATTCATTGCAGAGTGTTTTGGAAAATCTATCCGCCTGCGTTTGCTTTCGAAATTAAGCGAAACCTTGTTGTTTGTACACCGTATTAGCAGCCTGAATATAGTATATACTTGTGGGTGGGCTCTTTTCCCTTTGAACCACCTAAAAACCACTTCAGAACACCCTGGAAACCACCTAGCAAACGTGT